AAAACCCATGAATTGGGGAAAAAAAGCTTTGGCAACTGTTAGCCCAACAAAGGACTTCTATCTAGAACATACAAAGAATTTTTTTTTAAAAATCAGGTCTCCTAAATTCAAAGATCCAATCCAAAAATGGGCATCTGAGATGAATACACACTTCTCAGATGAAGAAATGGCAAATAAATGTATGAAAAAAATTTCAACATCATTAGTCACTTGAGAGATGCAAATTAAAACAACACTGAGATTCCATTTCACTTCAGACAGAACAGCTATCATCAAGAAATCAACCCATAACAAATGCTGGAGGGGCTGTGGGGAAAAAAGAACCCTTCTCCACTGCTGGTGGGAGTGTAGACTGGTGAAACCACTGTGGAATTCAGTTTGGAGATTCCTCAGGTACTGGGATTCCCATTTGACCCAGTTATTCCCCTTTTGAGTATTTTTCCAGAAAAATTAAAAACATCACACCATGGAAATATATGTGCACCCATGTTTATAGCAGCACAATTTGTCATAGCTAAATCTTGGAAACAACCCAAATGCCCATCAACTGAGGAATGGATAAGAGAAGATTTTTTTTTTTTTATGCAATGGAATATTACTCAGCTATAAAGAAATATATACTCGAGGCTTTTATAAGATGCAAGTAGAGGGCATACTAGTGGATGTGATACTAATGACAGTGATACTAAATGGATGCAACTAGAGGGCATACCCATAAGTGAAATAAATCACACACATGTGAACATCATACTGTCTCCCTAGTGTAAGAAACTGCAAGAGTAAGTAAAATCCAAAAGGTACAATAGATATTGTGCAAGGGAAAGAAACTGCTCAAAAGGAAAGAACAACTGGAAGGGAGGAAATGAGAAAAGAAAGAAAGAATGAAGGGAAAAATATATCTACATAAAAGATAGGTAAGATAATTGTACTACTAATTTCTATTGGTTTGTTGAAAGAAATACTTAACACTTAATTGTTTGATTATTTTTGCATCACTATATCTAGTAATCTGAAAAACTACTTTGAAGATAACAATATGCAATAGAACTATCATTGTTAATTTCCTATCAAAAAAAAAAGAGAGAGACAGAGAGGGAAGGAAAATATTGTGTCTCTAAATCCCATGAGAAACATTCAGAATATAAAAGGAAAAATGGTGATATTTTCCCCATAAGCAAAGAACTGAAAATATTCTCAGAACAAGGAGAAATAAGCCAGTGGGGTTTTTAGGTAATAGTGTGGTAGGAACTGGCTTTCAGTACACGGTCAGTAGGGAGAAATGCATGAGAAACACAACTACTTGTAAAAGATGGTTTTTCACAATAGAATAAAGGCAATTTCCCCCACAGATACCAGGAAAAAGAGAACATAACCATGAGAAGAGGATAAAGAGGGTAAAGAAATGCATAAAAACTGGAGTGTCATTTGTTTTTAATGGAAGAGGTGGAGAGATGATATGCCAAAGAAAGATGGGACAGCTGGGACTGGGGTATGGGAAGAGAGAAAAGGTCTAAAATAGATCCCACAGGGAGTGAGCCTGAGAGTACAGAAAAGACAATTAAAAAGACTGCCAAATAGCAGCAGAAACCAGATTGAAGTTTGAAAGCATCCAGTTCTAATGAGCCAAATCTGCAATGCTTTGTTTGCCTCCAGCAGTGCCCTCTCTCCTGGGAGAAGCAGCAAAGAGAGCAAGAGTTAGAGGTAATCTGCACTCAGGAGTCTGCGGTGTGAGCAAGGATACAAAGGGCGTCACTGAAAAGGGGCAAGTCTGGGGCAGGAAGCTGCAACTCACATGCAAGAAGGGCAATGATTCTTGTGTCTAATCACTGAGAAGTATTTCCAAGGAACGGGGGAAAGTAGTATGTGAGAATCATGACTGAAACCTCAGATCTTCATGGAAACTAGATGTTTCTAATTTCTCACCTGCCTCTCCCTACCACTCCTGCTGAGACCACAGGAAAGGGAAAAAGCGCAGCGCAAATGAGATTAGAAGAGTCTTAGAAGAGGACTGCAGCTGGGGAAGACAAGGGGGTAGAGTGGGGAACACAACTAACATCAAAGCAGCACTGCCTAGAATCCTGTGTGGTTGTGAGAACTGCTAAATAAACTACAGAAAACCCACTGGAAAAGTAATGTGAGTGTGTTGTTGCTGCTAACTACTAAATTATTACTCTGCTTTTTTAGAAAATACTGCGACTTCCTGCTGCTGCACGCTGTAAACCTTCACAGCGCAGAGCCGCCCACTCCTCACTTCTCCTCTCACTCCACCTTGTTCACTCAGGCCCAACCACTTCCAGTTTTTTCACTCCCAGAATAAGTCAGGCTTACTCCCAAGTCAGGGCCTTTGCACCAACTGTTCCTCAGTGCCTGCCAGGCAGAGCCCTCGAGAAGTGTGGGCGGCCCAGGAGGGTGCTCCGGAGTTCAGTGTACCGCTTCCTCAGGGAGACCGCCCCTGACTGTTGACCTAAATAATCGGCATACACCATGTTCACCATGTCACCTTGTTAGCCTTGTTCTCTATCCCTGACACACTATTACCTGAAAATTTCGTGCTTAGTTATTCATGCTTTGTGGTCTGTCTCTCCAGTTAGAATGTTATCCTCAGGAGAAAACAATGTCATATACATTTTCCATAAATAAATTCTATAAACTATGAGCAATGTTTTTGCTGTTTGTCTTGCTAGATGAGATCTAGAAAACAGGCTTAATTAAGAGGTTAAAGGAAATAGACTTTAATCTCTTCCCCATAAAAGGCAATCTCTAAATAAGAAATTCAGCCTCCAGCCAAGTTTTCACATTTTCTGTGGAAAGGATTCTCTGTCAGTTCATTAAAACATAAAAAGGGGGAAAATGCTAGAATCTCCTATCTCAATAAATAATTAATATTACAAAAGTTTTCATGATCTTAATGTTGGACATTATTTACTAACCATGGTCCTCCAAAATATAAATGAAATTTAAAAATGACCTGCTGCAAGATATACATGTAGAAGTCAAAAATCAAAAAGAATGAAGAAGGAAGTATTAGACATATCCAAATAGAAATATTCTTCAAAATACCTGCCCTATAATTCTTAAAGTACAACAAGGTCAACGCAAAGTAAAGCTAGGGAGATATTTCATCTCAGGCTATGGTTTTGTAGGAAAATATTTTTATCCTTAAGAAATACACATAGTAAACTTCCCTTCAGAAGTGGGATCCTCAGCAAACCACTCAAGACCCCTCCTGCCTCTCAGGAGCTGTATCTCTCACCTTCAGTAAATATTTCCTACCCTTAAAAAGAAAAAAATACACATGCTACTTAGGGAAATTCACAAAAAATGACAGATGGTTACATAACTAGATAGGTGGATAGATCTAATAAAAGATTCTTAATGCTGTCAAGTAAAACAAAAACTCACTCATCACTGATGAAAATAATAATAATTAATTGGTAAAATATAAGCAGGTGTGTGGAAGAGAGCAATATGTTATAAGAAATAAGTCAATAAAATGGTAACATCTATTTTGTAAGCTCTAATAATACATTATTACTTTGATATATACAATGTATAAAAATTGACTTTGAAATGTATGGAATTCTTGAAATAAAAGCTTTTATAAACTGGTTTCATTGCTTACCAATGTATTTTAGAAAAACATTATAACATTTAAATTTTAAGTTGAAGGATTGAATGAAAAATTTAAATTATTAAATACTGCACAAAAATCAAATTTCAGATAGCTCGATGAGATAAATTATTTCCCATATCCTTTATAATTTTAATTTTAAATTGAAGCACTAGTATAAAAATAATAATAAAGAGCAGCTTCAAAGTGGTTACATTATCTTCATTTTAAAAAGAAAAGAAGCTTGTAGCGATTAAATATCTCTCCTAAATTCTAGATAGGCGTTATGTGACAGATATGAAAAATCACAATAGTTTGCCTGCTCCTTGGACAAAAAAGGCTGTTGCACAATCAGATACCCTCCGCTTTGGCACAAAGCTTGAATTTACGGTATTGCCAATGTTAATCTCAGGGTATTGATATAGTCATATGTATAGTTATCGTTATATGTAACAATTTGTATTGTTAAGATCAAAGTGATAATGGAAAAAATTAGATAAAAATTCTTGTTTTTTTATTACCTGAAGAAAGTGTAAAATTCAAGATACAGTCACACATACAGGCACATAAATACTTACATAGTTATAGTGATATTACATATTTAGTCTAAATCATCCAATATGTTCCAAACTAAATGGGCAATATTTATGGCCCAAATAATACACTCATGTTTATCATTTCTTTTCTTTGACAACCTAGCTCTCCTTGGAGAGTTCCAAACTGCAGGTATTTGGTGCAATCCATGGTATATGCGTCTTAAGGATGAAACAGCACATAGCTATACTGAACCAGTAAAAGAAGAAAATTCTCTCTTTATTAAGCAAAACTGTAGTCAAGGTGCAGCTGGGGAAATCTACTGACCCGCTTTAAAATTAAAAAGCTGCTTTCACCAGTGTGCTTACACACACACACACACACACACACACACATACACACACAGAATTTTCCACTGAGTTTGCATGTAGTAGTTATCAAAGCTCTGTCAATGACATCTCAGATTACCAACCCCAAGGCAAGAATATGCACATTGAGTGCAGCCTGCTTACTAATTACCCTGAATTTTTTTAACCTTAGATCTTTAAAGAAAAATCATAATTATAGCAAACCCAAGGCTATAATTAAAATAGAACAACATAGTCATTTCTGAGACATCATTGCAGTTCCCTTATTCCCCAGTGAACATTCCTTCATTAATATCAGTTGTGCAACTATAAAAACAGTACATCTCAATTTTTAAAGTAGTATCAATTTTATCTTACAAAGATAAAAGTTATTACTTTCATTATTGTGAACTCTGAGTCACTGAACTAAATTCATGCAAAGTATTTTGCATATAATGCAATGTCACATGGAATAAAGAACTTGATGGTACATCTATGACTTTACTCACCAGTTGTCTCCACAATGCCTTCTAGGATGACGACAATCTCGAACTGTTCAGTCTGCATACTTCGCTGGGACAGGTCATAAAAGGGGCTTTTGGCATCGATCACGTGGCAGATTGTGAGGGGGGAAACAAGAAAAAGTTGATCTGCCCCTGTGCTAAAACCTACATCCAGTTCAAGTTGGTCAAGGGGAAGGAACTCACCCTCAGGTGTCTGCCGAGACTAGACAAGCACACAGAAAAAGAGAAGAAATCACCACTTGTGCTGAAATTTTCAAGGCAGCCCAACAGTAATTTACATCATTGCCAACACTCTGCACTATCAATCATCTGCAACAAAATCCAAACAAATCATTATGCAGCTATGTTCTAGCAAATGGGCTGAAATCCCACATAGCTCATGTGGAACATACATGCATTATTTATAATATACAACGTGCTATAATTACTATTCCCTAGCTCGTGAGCTTTGGAGAACTGCCTGGCCCAACAATGGCGGTCAGCACACACTGTAGAAGGGACTGTACATGTGCCACTGCTTGACACAGATCACCACATGACAGTGCTCTGCAGGCCAGGTTCTCCTTCCTCACAAAGCAAACAAACAGGCAGTGCTCACAGAGTGCGTTAAAACTGGATAAACTGACTGTTATATAAGAAGATACTTACTGAGATATTTAAAAGCAGAGCACAATGATTTATTTTTTAGGACTTTTGAAAAGTAACAAATGTAAATTAATTGAAAAGAAGAGTGAAGATTTCATTACATTAAATTATGTTACGTACACAAGAGTTCACTTAAAAATAGAAGGCTGATGTTGGTAGTCAATGGCTTTCACACCCCTAATAATAAACTGCATTGTAATTGTTTACTTCTCTACGTGTTGATTTTAAAAGGCAGACTAAGTTGTTCTAAACTGAACATTACTTAATTAAAATACAATTTAAATAGTTTCATCTGATAAACACAGCTCAGTGAAACTTTCATAAGGTAGTGGGATTCAGTTTCAATATAAATCAATATAACCTTACTTTAACAAATTATTCGCATGCTAAAGATTCTAAATGAAAATTAAATGTGACATAAATCAACAAACCATGAAAATTAACTTACTCATTTTCCATTGATTTGCATTTTGTTTTCCACATCGTTCATGAATAATAACCATATATAAGCAAACATTTAAGTTTAACTTACAAAATAGTAGCAGTAAAATCTGTGTGCTTAAGAGTTGCATTTCAAAAATTTAGTTGGGAGGGCCCCATGACACTAGGTAAACGGGATTTTGAAGAATCCAGTCTGTTTCTAAAAGACTTCCAAAAAGATAATTTAAGAAACAAAATTGAGGGGCTGAGGATTTAGCTCAGTGGCACAGCGCCTTCCTGGCCAGCACAAGGCTGTGAGTTCAACTCCTGGTACCAGAAAAAAAATAAAAAAAAAAATAAAAAATTGAATCTATGACACTTGTCTGTCCAATGAAATGGTAATTTGAAGACAGTATTCTTATTAAAATACACTAGCTATAAAAGTTCAACGAATGAGTATGAAAACACTGAGAAACTGGTTTAGTACAATTTCTTCTGGCAAGACAGGAAATTTTCAAATCATATCTGTTTATCATGGCAGCAATGACTACAGTCCCAGTAGCAGTATTAGTCAATTAGCGAGGTTAGTGATACTCAGAAACATTATTTGGATAGAAGAAAATTCGCTGACACCACTGAACTCACTGTTGCACATTGTGGGTACTTTTTAACAGTAGGACAGGAGCACTAACATGGGGCTGAGGAAGAGGAGAGAGGGAGAGCGGGAGCCAGCAAAAGAAAAAATAATTATTAATGCAAACGAAAACTCCATGGAGAACGCTAATGATGCAAACACAAATCCAGCAGTTCTCACAACCTGTGCTGGAGAAAACTAGGCACTTCTAAGCCAGCATGAAAAATTTCTCTGTGGAGAGTCTTCAGTTCATCTATATTTCTAAACCTACTCTCCAGTTAGTAAAATATGGTTGAGATCAACATTCTCCTTGCTACACACTTATGTAACAAGTACTGACTAAGAAAATCAGATGAAAACCAAATATAAAGCAAATATTAAAACAAAAACACTGTGTCAGTGTTCTCTCACCTACTAAGAAACAGGTGCTATAGAAACACAAGGTGGCATTCTGACAGTTCCAATTAATTGTCAAAATTTGGATGCTTTTACTGCCTGTTCTGAGTTCCGCTTTTCATGCACTACATGGCAGTATTGACATGATAAATCTGCAAAATCTCAATTTTCCATTTATTTAAAAATAATTTTGTCCCAAGAATATACGTTTCCACTTCACATACATCAGTACTAAAGTTGTCTTTTTAAAGGGCTTTACAGGAAGCCAGCACAGTTTACACTCCCTAACCATCCAATAATCCATGAAAACAGAGGTGGCCTAGAAACAGGCAAGCTGTCAGGAGAGTTCCAGTCTGGAAAACAGTGCTTTACTTTTAACAAGTGTTTATTACAAGCAATTTAGACTTAACCATGCATCACTTTGCTCCATTCAGACTCAGCGCGCCTTCTCATTTTGAATATAGTATTTCTTCCATGTAGTCAGAGTCATGCTCCCACCCCCACCACCAGTGCTTTGTTTCCTACCCAGTGCAGGACTTCCTGCTCTGTGTTACTACAGAAAAATTACCAACAACTTCATTTCTTTGAAAAATGCTTTTCAGGTATCTCTATTTCTCAAATAAGTGATGTTCTCTACTCATGAATTAAAAATTATTTGCCGGTGGATAGTGTGAAATTTAACCTTTTTATGAATAAGACACATTACACACATCCAGAATTCTGTCATGCAGGTCTTCATGTCAGGCCGTCACATATTTCAGCTCTTAATGTGCTCTTTTCTCGGAGTCTTGTTTGCCTCTTTGACTTTAGTAGACAGAGAGGCCTGTTAATGACTGGAATTAAGTGGACAGCTTTGGCTCAGGTCAAATGTGAAGGGCAGTTATAGTGTGGCAGGTGCTGAGAGAGCTAGAACCACTTGAAGTCTGAGCTCCTGAGTAAAGCTGAGCGAACAGCCAAACACTTCTGATGCTCCAAAAACTTACATATGCTTGCTAAGTACATTGACAGAAACATATGAATTCTCCCCTAGTCTTCTATATAATTCTGATCTAGAATCTCCTAATTCCACTGCAATTCTGGAGATTTGCAACATTAAAAAAACTATGTTAGTTTTAAGTCTCTCAAATTACATTAGAGGACTGAGAGAGATTTTGTTTAGTGAACTGTGATATGTGCATAAGAAAAGCAAAGATAAAAAAGAAAAAAGATGAATTCTGTATGTGCTTTCTAGAATTCAACTGTGATCTGTAACTTGAGTATGTAATAAAACAGCAACACTGATACTACTAGCTTCATACTGTCTTAGGTATCAGTTACTATATTTTAACCTAGAGGAATTTGGTAATAGGCAGAACATTTTTAGCTAACAACTTAACTTTCTTCATTATGTCATCATAAGAATTATGATATTATGAGCCTGGTGTTAATAGTCACTATTGCTATTATCTCCTTTACTTCTTGTTCTTCTATTATTCCCTTTATCTCTAATTGCTACTATTATCTCCTTTACCTCTATAAGGCTCCTAATTTCAAAGAGAATACAGAATCAATATAATTTCCTACATAAAATGTTTAGATAGCTACAATAACTCACATTGTTTGCAAATTCAAAACAATTGGTGAAAGTTCAGGTTGATGCAACAAGTCACTTAAATTTCCAAAAAGCTGACTGTGAAGCTTTGACTTTAATTCCATGAAATAATCACTTTAAATCTTTTAAATGGTAGAACATGAAAGCAAGAAAAGGTGAAAAGAAAGGCAATGAATGGAAAATTATTAATTTCTTTTTTTAAAAGATAATTTAAAAAGCTATGAGAATGATGTCCATACAACTTTTATTGCATTCTTATGGAATCATAAAAAAGGAAATGAATTCTTTCTACCCTCTTAAACCCTTGCTCATTAAATGAATTACAGAAAACTTGTGGAATTATGAGAAAATTTGAAGACGTTAAAAACTTGAAATTTGTTTAAATTCACTGTCCAAAAAAATTGTAATTTAAACAGCATGGTGTTTTAAAAATGATTTTGCACCTTTCAGATTGTGGCAATAATTTTAAGTTAATCTTCATAATTAAAACATACTATTTAATAAGTATTTCTACTATACACATTTTAACTGTATGCAATTAGAACTCTATATACAGTTTAACAACTGTGCCACAAAGAAGCAATTAATGTTAAATGACTTTGACCTTCCTAAGTCCAGAAAGTCCTACAAAATAATATAGGTAGACTCTGACTGCAGGTGAAAAAAATCAAAAGTTACATATGCCCGGAAAGGGCCATCTTGGTCAAATAGCTATCATATAGCAAACAAAAAAATACTTTTGTGTTCGTGCAGAGACCCAAATATACACACAGGCACATACACACACAGCATGCACACATTTAGCAGTGCCTTAGACTACACTCATATTTTGACATCCTCCTGCTAGACAAGATGTGGACAAAAGTCCAAAATCATTCTCCAAAACACAATGGACCAATCTAATTGTTAACTTTAATGCCTTTCTCCCATCTGTAGCCTCTATGCTCTTTCTTAGAACAGAGTAAATTATGAGGGATTTTTGAATAAAATATTCACTTACTATTACCCGACCCTCTAGATTTATCCCAAAGCTTGGGATCTTTGGGACCCAAAGATTTATCCCCTACCATCTCTCATAAGTCTCTACTGGAAAAGAACCTAGTAGGCCAATGATCAGGAACAAAAGGAGAGGAGGCTCAGATGAAGAGAATCAGCCAAACACTTTGCATACAAGCACCACACCGTTTCATCTAGAATTGTACTTTCCTTTAAATGTGTAATATGTATGCTTGTGCTTGTTTTGGTGCATACATGTTGAAGTCAGAACCAAAATTACATGAGAGGTAACATTAGGAAATAAGCAAATATAGATTTCAGGATCAAGAATAAAAGTGCTTTGAGACTAAAGCAGTTATGATAATATCTTTGACACTTGGATCAAATTTAAATCAAGAAGAGGAATGTATAGATCTACAATTATATCTGGATCATTTGCTATAAAACTGTACATTTATGTGGACTCCTTGTGCTTGAAACAACATGAATACTCAAAGAACTGACCAAAACTGAGTCTAAAGCAAATAATTTTTAATGTTAAGTTAATTAACCATTTATAATGTTCACATTTATGAAAAGAACATTCTTTATAGCATGGCATATATTTTATCTTGTAACAAATTTTGTAAGGCTTTTACACCATTCAAATGAAAGAGTGGTTCATAATCTCTTGAGGGCCTTTTGTGGGATTTGTAATAACTGTGGATGGGATTTGTAGCCCTACTTGCACGTTCTCCTCCTCCTCACTCAGCACCCTCCAGTCCATCAGCTGCTTTCTCCTGTTTCTCTTTATCATTTGTTCTTACCTACTGGTGTTTATCTGTGGGTCTCCAAGTCTCCTTTTTCTGTTCATAGCTTATTCTCTCAGCACTCTGCACTTTTCAGGCATCACATTAAAATTTTAAAAATAGTACTACTATTGAAAAAAGAATTATAATTATAGTTTTTAGAAAGAACCCAAGGTCTATACTTACTAGAGAATTATTTTATTTGTCTCAAAGAAAGCAAAGGAACTGTGCTACCTTTAAAGAAATAATAAATCCATTTAAAAATTCACCAAATAATATGGGAACCTAGCTCTTGAGAGTTCTGAAGTCCTCAAACTTAGACTTCTTAAGTATATTTTCCAACAGCCTGGATCATGGTTTCAGAACAAATATTATGTATATATGTGGATTAATTAATGTGTATATATATATATATATATATATACACACACATATATGGGAGTTAATTTTTAAGTGAAAATAAATCATTGCCTCAAGATTAGAAGTTCAAAGTTCAATTGGACAAAAAAGGTCAACCATAAAAAATAAAGTCATATAGAATCAAATCATAGTCACATTTATGTCATTGTGACATGGAATGAAGATATATAGTAAATGAAAGTCAATAATGATGTAAGAACAGTCCCAGCATCTGTGGTCCAAGAATCATTGAGGTTAAAATATTAATAAAATGTAAGGCTAGATCTCAGGATATATCTTAGTGGCAGACCATTTGCTGAGCATGTTTAAGATCCTGGGTCAGATTTCTCACAATGAAAAGACAAAAAAAAGAGGATAAAATGCTCAGTGATTTTACATACAACAAATTTTAATTGCAATTGCACGTGATCACATTCATATGGGAAAAGGACAAAGCATTCAACTTAAGTTAGAATATAAATGGAGAATAAAAATGTGAGTACCAAAATAGTGTATGTGATATTAAAAGAGGAAGAGAATGCACTGCATTATGTTTCAGTAAATGAAAGTAAAAGGTTGCATAGCTGACCTCTTCAGAAAGATGATGACTATTCCCAGTCAATATACTTGTAGAGAAATAACATTATCTTTCCATGAAAAAACTTCATTATTGTCTCTTTCAAAATATAGATGCAATAATAGTTGGCTTTATGTTTATTTTATGCAAAAATATTTGGTTGAGTAAACATAACTACACATATGATATATACATACAGTATGTGCATTTGGGTAATAATTTGTAAATTACTGAGTAGTGAATCAAAGATTACTTCTTCCTATAACAAGTTAAATGTCTATGGCAGTCAATCATTAGACAGGAATAAGTGAGATTTTCAAATCTTTTAAACCCCATCCTAGTGTCCATTATTTGAGACATAGTCCAAGCATTTGTATTAAAAATGTCTAGAGGATGACACATTAAAGTAGGATAGCCTGATATTAATTTCTGTTCTCTAAGATAAAAAGACAACTAAAATAAATTGATAATTCAAGTACAATTTAATATGATAAGAAGATAAAGAATATATACTTTAAAACAGTTTTTACAACTTCATAGTTAAATTATAGATTTTCAAGAATAACTTCAAACTATATCTTCCATATTGCATTTATTTTATTTTTCTTTTAGTAGAAAAAGGACTTATATCTCCAGGGATATATTTTGATATTCTACATTTGCCTGCTAAAGAAATTTCAGCATTTTTTAAGCTGAGAATTCTGGAGGAGAGTTGAAATAAAATTTGTCTTCATAAAAATAAAAACCACAATTAGAAATTAGGTTGAGTATCTTTCATCAAAAGTTAGGAAAGTTAAAAGAATTATGTATGGAAAACTTCAAAGTAGTAAAATTAGGAAACTATATCCACGTTATTTGTGTCTTCACAAGAATTGAAAGTGCTTTATAATTATGAAATAAAACTTTTGTGTTTATACTAGTAAAGAAGTTTTTATTCAGGAAATACAAAAACAGCAAAAATTAGTTAATATGAAGACAATACATGCACTATAATTACTATCATTAAATATTATATTAATTCTTGTTGCCTTAAAATTATATATGCTTTTCATTAAAAACTCATCATTTTTACTTTTGAAATGTTAAGTGGGTTTAAAATATAAAACTGGATATATGCAATGATAGACAATAAGTAGGATGTGTGTAAGTGGCAAAAGTGTTGTAACTCTGAGGTTCTGCACAGCTCTTCCCCCATAACATAGCGGACTGTCTTAGGTCACTTCAGCTCGGCCCCTGATAGAAAACGAGACCAACTGTTAAAGGCAATCGTCCCTCTAATTTTGCTGAACGTTATTAGCTCCTCTATAAAGCATGATTATTTTTTAATGAAGTCTAAGGAAATGACAAGAACTGCAAGAATTCATTTAATTGCTATGACTACAGGAAAAAACAATTTCAAGCAAAATAAACCAGCCGGCTTGTGTGAAGCACTGCCACTAATCAACCCCTCCTCCTCCACAAAACCAAGGGAGAATTTCACCATAATTTAGTATAAATGTAACTTTAATGCCACATGTCTATCATTTTGACTTCCAGCACTAACACCTTAACAAATCAACAGGTAAGGGCTTTTTAGGATTAGTCTATCATTTTAATTAGAGATTTCTTTATCACCTTGTGTTAATATAGCACCTTGCTCCAAATTTGTCAATAATGTAAATCTTTTATATTTTTAATCAAGACACTACTTATAATACATGTGGTACATGGACCTTATGCCAAAAAACCCACCTCATTTTCAGGGACTTTCACCACTGCACAGACTGAGAGCTTCAGTTTCACTGTGTGTGTATGCGTGCAAATAATACATAGACTGATACTAATTATGCTCAAGTTTTAAAAATACGATTTGCTGATATCTACAATCTGGAATAGATATCTGTCTTAAGAAATAACCTTATATGTTTGAAAAACTAAAAAATAATAGATGTTAGATGGAATTTAAATAGCCTCTGAAGTATAAATTTCAGTTTTTACTAGGCCAATCAATATGGTAAATTACTGTGCCGTGAGTCCAAAATGGCACAGAAACATGGATGTTTTTGGACAGAGACTTTGGCATTATTCTAACAAAGTGCTCCTACCTGCCTTGTAGCTTTAACCTGAGGAAGGGGAAGATTTATCTTAGTCTATACACAGAAACAAGCACATAAAATTCACCACTGCATTAACTACCTGTACAACACAACTGCTTACATTTACCCAACAACCTCATTAATTCACACATCAGTCAATAAAATAATATGCTAAATCTTTAAAATTGTGCACAGTTCATTAATTATAAAAGAATCTACTCAAATTATTTGTTCACTGTTACATCAATTAAAATGTACATCAGACTCAGGCTGATAACTTTATACTCTGATATATAAAATTTATTTTGCCTACTGTCAGTAGTATAGTAAATATGCATGTGGTGTGAAGCGACAGGCCAAGGGAACTTCTTTAATTCAAACACTGCTGAGCAACTCGGTGAAGAGTAATTATAAGTTCTTAGACGTGAATAATGAAATGACACAACATGACAACTTTGAAGCACATGGGTCACTTTGCAACGTGAATTGGGCCTGTATAAACCCATATATATGCAGAGAATGAAAACTGAAATTTCAACAGCAAAAACCTCAATTTAAATCACTATCAGATTGTTATCTTATTAATACTAAGTTCTGAATCTAGCTATGGTTTTCTATACAATCTCAGATAAATAATTTTCAACTTGTGAGCCATCTGAGTCATCACTTTCAATTCATAAACAGAAAAACACTAAGGCAAATCCCTCAAGAAAAGGACTGACATCTAGAGAGAACTGTTCTTTAATCCCTTAACCCTTCTTGCCCAGACTCCAACTGTATGCGTGACTGAGGAGCACCTCTCCTTTGTGGTGGTGCCCTCTAACGACTGCAAGGACCTTGCTTTAATAGCCACTCCATGTGCCATTTGTTTTAGCTTTTATAGCACTGATGGTAGGAAGCAATCTTCTTTAATGGATGCTGAAAAGCTTCAAGTGAAATCTGTAATTGACAAAGGCATCATAGAAGCAGGCAATTAAGAATTATATTAACAAGCGTCTCTGCAGGCAAAGCACTCAAACTTTCACAGAATAGTTCTCCAGGAAAATATTTAGCAAAAATAAAAATTTAAGAGAACCAGGTGTGGTTTCTCCCACTTCGTTAACTGCTTCCTACAGGTGAGCGTTGAAAGGACCAAGACAGGCCGAGTTACACTTGCTTGGTGCAGATGAGTTACTCAACCGCTAATAGTATTAGGGGGAAAAAGCAGAGACCAAGAGCAAAAGTTGAGGCGAGTTCTCCGCCTATTTCTTCAGAATAAAAGCTGTTCAATTTAGTTTCAGCGCTTCGGTTTCAACGGAGCAGCGCGCTGGCAGCAAACCAGACGCGCTCGAGGCCGTCGGGGCAGGGAGAGCACTCCCGCCGACTCCAGGAGCCCGCAGCGTGACTCCTGCATGTTACTAGTGCAGAAAGTGACACAAGTGCCTCGGACGCGGGCCGCGGGGAGGGGAGCAGCGCGGAGCAGGCCGACAGCGGCCCTCGCCCGCACCCGCGGCCCAGCATCCCGGGAGAGGCCGGCGGCCCGCGGGCCCGCGTCGGCGCCCCACCTACCTTGAGCAGCTTGCAGCGGATCTGCGCCGACACCATGTGGCTGTTGCGCAGGTTGCCCACCCGGAACATGAGCGTGAGCTTGCCGTCCCTCATGGAGATCACCGCGTGCTCGCTGAACATGAGCGTCTCGGCGCGCTTCTTGGGCTGGGACATCTTGATGAACATGCAGCCGATGAGGAAGGCGTCCACGATGGAGCCCAGGATGGACTGGAAGAGGAAGAGGATGATGCCCTCGGGGCACTTGTCGGTGATGTAGCGGTAGCCGTAGCCGATGGTGGCCTCCGTCTCGATGAAGAAGAGGAAGGCGGACGGGAAGTTGTAGACGTTGGCCACGCAGGGCGTGTAGTTGCCGACGTGGGCTTTGTTCAGGTCTCCGCGGGTGTAGGCGATCAGCCACCACATGGACGCCATGAAGAGCCAGGCCACGGTGTAGGTGAGGATGAAGATGAAGAGGTTCCAGCGCCACTTGAGGTCCACCAGCGTGGTGAAGAGGTCGGACAGGTAGCGGCTGGTCTCGCTGCCCAGGTTGCCGTGCTGCACATTGCAGCGGCCGTTCTTGTCCACGAAGCGCTGCCGCTTCTTCTTGGGCACGAGCTGCTGCTGCGCGCCCTGGCCCGGGCCCTGGGGCTGCGCGCCCGAGCCGCTGGACGACGTGGTCACCACCTGGTAGTCGTCCCCAAATTTCCTGCGGAGTGCAGACATGCTACGGCGGGGCGAGCCAGAGTCGGGCGCGGAGCGAGGGCGCAGGGGCCGGGCGCTGCAGGCCGGGGAGCTGCG